AATAGCACATTTGGCATTCAAAACTGGCAAGTTTTTTTTTCCCTTTCCACTTTCCTTCTTTATATATTTCCCGTGATCATTTTGTAAATTCTAGTTTAATTTTAAAAACACATAAGATATAAGTAAAATTTGAGTTTACAAATTTAGAACCCTGTCACATAAGTAATATTAACTGTACATTAGATCATAGTTATTATCAAAGAACATCTATTAAGCATTTTTAAGATTTTGTGCAAATTACATTAGGTGTTATATTTCCAAAAAGATTCTGACACAGGGGAATGCCTTTGCAGGAGCAGAAAGTGGTGAGTGTGTACTCAACTCTTTAACGTGTAAATGTGTGTATACATTTCCATTATGGGAATGTATTTATACATTGCTGTAAAGACTTGCTTGACACTAGCATATTGTAATTACCTAATTATTTGCTTAATTAAATACTTTGTTGACTAATTGAATATGTGTTTAGCACAGAAGCAACTGTTCGGGAAGTAGGTCCTGGTCTCTCCAAGGACACAGTGAGATCGCTCATCACAGTCAGAGCAGGTCGCTAAGCCTTCTAGTGTCTGAGCAGTTGCGCAGCCCTTCTGGGGAGGAGCTAGCGGAGGCCAGGAGTGGGGAGAGGCAGGCACAGGGGAGAGCTTCAGAGTCAAACCATATAGCCTTCGGATCATCAGTCCAGTGTGTACTCACTATAGCAGACAAACTGCAGCTTGCGAAGCGCATGGATGTGGTTGGTAGATAAACCGAGCCCCTCTGCCTGCTCTCTGCAGAAGGGACTTCACAGGGCCTGGACGCCCTTACCATCCTAACTGAAAGTGACCCTTTGGAGGCCCTCACCATCCTAACTGTGACCCTCGGGCCGGTGGCAGAAACTCCCTCCACAATCATTCCCAGAGCTTACAAATTTAGAGCACTCTCACATAAGTAACATTAACTGTACATTGATTAGATCATGGTTATTATCAAAGAACATTTATTAAGCACTTTTAAGGTTTGCTTAAAACTCTGGCCTGCTGATGTTCACTCGCGGATACGCTGCAATGCAGCTCTAGTCCTGGTTCATCTCTCATCTCTATGGCTGAGCTGTGTTCTTCTCTGGCTCTTCTCATCCTTCTGAAAGACTGGCTGTTTGATAAACATGACAGACAGTGAAGGCAATGGAAGACAATTAGCCTTACGGTGCTGGAAGCTGATGGAGGAGGAAGAAGAGGGGAGTGACAGGGCAGGAGTGGCGTTCGCTCTTCTCCCCCCTCTCAGCAGCTCAGGGAGATCACAGCTTAGCCTGAGCCTTTCTGCCGCAGAACCAGAGGATAGAGAGAAACCCCAGACAGGGCATCTGCCGGAGATGTAGAAGGGAATGTCCACTCTGCACTTCAGCTTCTGTGCAGACTTGGAGAATGGCACATAGAGATCATGGTAACTCAAGACACGTTATTATTATCTGATGGAGACTCTACACATGGGCAGTTGAACTTTGAGTTGTCATCAGTAGCAAATCTGGTGGTTGTGACTAGTAGCAAAGCCTTGATACAAGAAAATAATACCTAATGAATTGTAATTGGTATGATGATGATAGGATCATCACATGATGAAGAGGCAGATAATTAGAATGTCGACAACTTAAAAAATTAAATCAAAGACTGGGGTACTAGCTAAAAGTTTCAACAATTCCCCAAGAAAGAGGATTAGAACTAAATACTTAGGCTATCAGTATACTCCAAAACTACAGCAACAAGTATCTATGGAGGTAACTATTAAATACCAGGAATTGCTCTAATTGTTGAGATTACACATAGCAAGGGGAACAAAACAAAACAAAATCCCTGCCATGAGTATTCTCACGTATTTCATTTCAGCTGATTGTTTTGATGGCTTGATTAAAAGAGTAGAAAAAAAATTCAAAAGTTAATTTATTAGGAAAGTGTACTGCAAAAACACGGACAGTTCTAAGAAAAAGGAAAAAAATGCATATTAATTTGACAACTTTCAGTGAGAAATACTTCTGAAGGGACTGGATTCACAACTCGCTCTGTATGAAACACAATACCATCTATGCAGGAAAGTATAGAAAATGTGCTGATTTCCCATGAATATTTTACTGTTATCTCTCTAAAAATATAATCACTGATAATCCTATCTCCCCAAGCAGTGGGTAAGATGAATTTCATGAAGATGAATTTCATAAGTCAAGTTAGAGGTCAGGCTTCAAAGCAGACAACTGGGACCCATGGCCATTGACGGGCTGTCAGATCTGGTGAACTTTCCAGCAGAGTGGCAGCTGGGGCTAATGACTGGAGGAGTACAGATTGTCAGCGGGAATGTAGCACATTAGTTCCCCACAGTACACATTCTTCAGATGAGTTTGTTTGTCTTCAAGTTTGAAATGCTTAGAATAGCACTTAGATAATATTAGTTCAAAATTAGTCAACAGATATTTCTTTTACTGCACTACATTGTGTTTGTCAGCTCTTCAGTATGAAATTTCACAAAGTAGGAATGTGTAACACAAAGGTATGTTGGCTCAGATTTTATTGTTAACTATTTTTCTCAGGTTTTACTAATTAATACCAGCAATATCGTTGTTGCTGTTTAGTCACTCAGTCATGTCTGACTCTTTCCTACCCCATCATGGACTGTGGCCCACCAGGCTCCTCTGACCATGGGATTTCCCAGGCAAGAACACTGGAGTGGGTTGCTGTTTCCTTCTCCAACTGGTAATATTAGAGTACTTTAAGAAAATTGTGGATCCAAAGTTCATGATCCCCTCAAGAATACACTCCTGAAAGTAGACTCCTTGGAGAGTGAAATGGTACAGTGCAGGTGTATGTGTTTGTGGTCACTGCTTTACTAGAAGACTTTGGATCCAGGACACACCCACTGGGCTTTGGAAACCAAATCACCTCTTATCTGTATCGATGAACTGCATGCATGCATGCTAAGTTGCTTCAGTCGTGTCCGACTCTGTGCGACCCCATGGACAGCAGCCCACCAGGCTCCCCCATCCATGGGATTATCCGGGAATGGGTTGCCATTTCCTTCTCCAGTATTGATGAAAAGGTGGTGTTCATTTGAAAGCAAGTGCCAATATTTTGAATGATAGCTTTCATGTTTTTGTTAATCTGTGTCTAGTAGGTTAGTTCTTAGCTAGTATCAAGTAACAAAAAGGTTGTCTAAAGTCATTTTCTCACATTTTTTTATGTCCACAACTATCGACATTAGATATGGTGCTGAGAATGTACAGTGAAGGAAGGATGCTTTCCCAAGATCAAGGGGTGGACAGTCTTTTAGGAATGAGGGATTTGTAGGTTAATAATGACAAAAAAGAAGTATTTTTAGAAATAGGCATAATCAACATTATTGCTATATCAATATAAATGGAAAAGGGAAGAGTTAGGCACTGCCTGATTAAAGGGTTTCTTCAGCCTCCTCCTCTGGCAAGATGGCCCTTGGGAGTCAGAAGCCGTCTGTTTGGTCCTGTAGCTTAGTCTCCTAGATCAGCACCTGACCTGTACTGATGCTCAGTTGGCAAGAAGGAGGGAAGGAAGGAGAGAGGGAAGGACGGTGATGATGAAACTGCTCCTCAGTGGATGGCAGTTTAGTCAGTTTGTTATATGACATCTTAGGGAAATGAACTTGAGCTTCTCTTACATCAGTGCTTATTTATGAAGTTAGTTTCCTCCCCTCTTTTCTCAAATGCAGTTCAAATTATTAATGTTAAGAATGGAGTTTAGGATGACATTTGATTTCCAAAACTTGTGTATTCATTTTTAAAAAAAATCTCCTTTCTTAAAGAGAAGATCAATTGAAATATTTTTGTATTCAAAACTTAGTCGTTTTTATTGGGTCATGCCACGTATGTGCTCTTTCAATTTTAAGGTGTCTTCTTTTTCCTTTTAGAGTCATCATTTCTATTTTCCTTCTTCATACTTTCAACTGTATTTTAAGTTGTAATTTGCATTGTGATATAATTTGTTATAGAATAAAATCTAAAACTTGAGAGGAACTTTAAATATCATCTCTTGCATCGTTCTCATTTAAAATAGAAAGAATGAGGAACTTCCCTGGTGGTCTAGTGGTTGAGACTCTGCCTGCCAATGCAGGGGGCTAGGGGTTTGATCCCTGGTCTGGGACGATTCCACATGCCTTGGAGCAACTGAGTCTGAGCGCCGCCACTCCTGAGCTGGTGCTCTGGAGCCGGGAGCCCTGACAGGGAAGCCGTGGCAATGAGAAGCCCACACACCACAGCCAGAGAGTAGCTTCCACTCACCCCAGCTAGAGAGAGCCCACTGACAGCAACAAAGACCCAGTGCAGCTAAAAATAAACAAGTACATTTAAACAATAGAAAGGTTGAGGTTGTGGGGGCTGGGATTACTTATTCAAGGTCATATCCTGTAGGGCATAGTTGAGACGTTAATTCTGGTCTCCTGAATTCTTATTGTGCTGTGTGCAACCAGACGCCTTACCAGACCCTCCCTGTAGGAGTCAGAATGGGACCTGGAATGCATTAATTTGATTTGACATTGTCCAAGGTACTGTTGTCAGGATTCCCTGGTGGTTCAGACGGTAAAGAGTCTGCCTGCAATGTAGGAGACCTGAGTTCAATCCCTGGGTAGGGAAGATCCCCTGGAGAAGGAAACAGCAACCCACTCCAGTATTCTTGCCTGGAAAAATCACATAGACAGAGGAGGCTGCTGGGCTGCAGTCCATGGGGTCACAGAGTTGGACATGACTGAGCAACTTCACTTCAAGGTGCTGTTGTCAGCTCATTCTGTGAAGGGTAATGCTTTGGGAAATATAGTAAAGAGTTCCAGGTAAGTGTTGCAAGTACCAAGCAAAGGTTCTGAAGGCTGAGCAAAATCTACTTGCCATTTTGTTTTCACAAACAGTTCTTTATCACAGTCGTGCAAGAGCTAACTTGAAGTTCCACGTGCATTTTGTGTCTTTACCATACAGATGAAATCCTGTAGAAAATAACATCATCTCTGTGTATTTCTAGCAAGAACATGTGGATCGAATCTGCGTGGACCCAGTGGCGTCATCACCTCTCCTAATTACCCGGTTCAGTATGAAGACAATGCTCACTGTGTGTGGGTCATCACTACGACGGATCCTGACAAGGTAAGACTCTCAGCTCTCCTCTGTAAACATCTGATGAACTCAGCTCTCTACCTGGGCAACTGTTTACCGTGAACACTCTGGTGAGTGGCATGCACCCTCGCGTCTTGTTTGAATTGAAACTGCTGCTGCATGGAGTGTCTGTCTATCCGCCTGTATTGGAAAGCCTATCTAGGATTCAGTTATGAAATATTCTCAGTGTGCTTACCTCCTGCTGCTTCTGAAGGTTACATCTATGTTATGGTTTTATTTCCAGCTCGATCATCATATAACAGTTGACATACAACCATTTAGTGTAAGGTGCGCAACATAATGATTTTATATGTATTTATGTTGAAAACTGATTACCACAATGTTTAGTTAACATGTATCATCTTGTATAGTTAAAATATTTTTTCTTGTGATGAGCACTTTTCATCGCAGAAGCAGTCAGTAATCAGTTAATGACCTCCGGGTGGAATGCAGGGAGTGAATGAGGATGCTCCGTGGGCAGGTGGTTTTGATTCTCTTAACACTCTATACACATGGCTTCCCCTTGCGGCACCTGCTGCAAGGGGAGAGGAGAAGGAATCCAGAATGGCTTTGGGGTGGGTGGTGAAACCCTGACCAGAATGGGCACAAGGTCCAGCCTCCCGGGAGAGTCCCAGTGAACATCCGCTGTCCTCGCATAACTACTAATGATAACACTCTTCTTTGTTCTCCTAATCATCCCAGGTTGGAACACTTAGATTCTAAGCTCTCTCTACCTGAAAACAGGGAAAGGGCCTCAGAAACCAGCCCTTTATGGGAAGAGAGAATGGGTTTGGCTCTGGGTGCAGTGAGAGTGAGGGGCTTGCTGTATCTCCAAATGTGTGTCCCTCATAGAGGTCAGCTCTGGATTCCCAGGTGTGTCCTTAGCTGCCGAAACCTGGGATGAGTGTGACATCATGCAGAGAGGCCAGAAAGAGCCGAAGTGAGTCCCGCTGGTGGCTTCACGTTTCCCTCAGGGATGTCGGAGGGTGCACTGGGCTCCACAGACATGAGTGATGGTGCTCTTGCAAGCAGAAGTATCCATGTCAAGTTCTGAAATGCTAAACTCTTGTATGGATGATGCCCTGGCATTTCAGCAGGAAAGCAGCAGCTCCAGATGAAATCTTCAGGGAATTTGGTTAACTCCCTCCCAATAGTTTAAAATTCATTTACATCCAGATTACATATGGATAATCATAAATATTTTTCTATAGGAAAGATACCCCATATATCTGTGTCTCTATTTCTTTTCTGCTGTCAACTGAAAAAAGGCACAACCTGAAAGCTGAGGATTAGTATTGTTTGGAGGGCGCAGAGGACGTAGGGGCCTCCCTGGAGGCTCAGTGGTAAGGGAACCGCCTACAATGCAAGAGATGCAGGAGACGTGGATTCGATCCCTGAGTCAGGAAGATCCCCTGGGGGACGGAATGGCAACCCACTCCAGTATTCTGGCCTGGAGAATCCCATGGACAGAGAGCCTGGCAGTCAGACTTCTCTGACTGAGGAGACACGACTGAGTGACTAAGCACGCATGCACGCACGCACGATGTAGGCCCATGAGACAGGCTCTCAGATGACTGCGGGCAGCTGTTCAGGGCAGGTCAGGGAGGAGTCAGGACATATAGCAGTTTTGGGGAAAAATAGGTAGTCAAATATCAAAAGATTACTGTTAATGGAAGAAGAGCATACATTTGAGTTTAGTGAATTTTAGCTCTTTTCTATACTTGGGAAGATGCAGAGCCTGGACTCAATGGAATTCCTGCTTGGATGTGCATCTTAACCTTCCAGGGCCAGTGTCCTGCTTTCCTCCCCCTGAGTGCCCCCATGGGACAGAGGCTGGTGGCTTGATGGCCAAAAAGTCCTTCATTTACTGACGACAGGCGACATTCTCAGTCCACATTCTATATACTAGAATGACCGAAATCTCCATGTAGACAAAAGCAGCTTAGCGTTACTGTTGTCTAAACCCTTCACTCGACAGCAAGGAAGCTGAGACCCAGGAAGGTAAGATTTCAGAGCTGTTTACTCCTATTGCAGGATGGAAACATGTGTGCTCTCTGCACAGTTCTGATAGCCTCTTTGTCAGCTTTCTTCCTCCTGGAAGAAGAGGCATTTCTTTTGCAGCTATCTGTCCCATTATCAGTTTTATGAGAACCACAAGGAAATGAAACAGTAGGTTATTCAGTGTGGTGATAGGATGCTCTTCGCTGTACATAATAGAAGAGCTGACTAAAAGCCAAACGTTTTTAGGGAAATGTTGTTTCATGCAATGAAAGGTCAGAACCAGGGAGATTCCAGGTTTAGTTAAGAAGCTGAGGGCTCTGATGTGTGCCTTTCTGCTCTGCTCTGCTTTCTGAGCAGTGGTCATATACTCTTCAGGTCTCAAGATGCTACTATACCATCATGTTCAATGCTCAAGGAAGAAATGCTGTATGTCTTCCTGAGAAGTGGCAGGAATTGTCTTGAAACTCCTAGATGGTCCCCTTAAGATCACCTGAGCTAGATGTCCACACTCAAGATGCTGAGCAGCTGGAGGAGAGAACCATCTGGAAGTCAGAGAAAGGGCCGGTGGTTGTTGGTGACAAGTCATGTCTACCACACACAGACAAGCAAAAGGTTGAGGGAAGAGTTTTCCGTTATCACCAGATTCTTCTTTTGCTTCTGAAATGTTTCACATCCCATTATCTGCCTGTTCCACTGGACACCAGTGGGCTAACATTAGTTAAAACTCATGAAATTTGTCCCTTGATGTTTTGAAGTTGACTAAAACCTGGCCAATCTGCAACATGACAAATGAAATAGTGAATTTATGCAGTTTGGGTTTATGGATTTCTCTCATTATACAAGTTCACTTTTCTCTCTCATGTTTGGGCACACTTACATAGGCTTTTGTAAAGACTTCGTATATATTGTGTTGATTCTGAACACATAACAATTAACAAGTTAAATTTCAGGAATTTTGTGTTACACTGCTCCAGAAATTTCTTTGCCTTCCTCCATTTATTTTGGTGACATGCTCAGAGAACAAGCAAAGCTTCCTCCGCGTGGATAGGCTCACACGGATCCTCAAACAAGAGCACCACTTAGACACCTGAAGGCATCTCAATTAAGCAGAATTACCATCCAAATTAAGCAGCAGACATTGCCATTAAGCATAATTAGGCCTAATTTGATTCCTTGGGAGACATTCCAAATAAGGGGGTTTCCCGATTAAGTTCGTGGTGATGAAGGTATATTACATTTTGAGCATAAGAGTAAAGAACAGTTATGTCAAGATTTCCAGACAACGGCTCTTGCTAGAATACTAACAGCATTCTAGACAAGAAGGGTTGATACACCTCGATGTGTTGTTTGACATGCTTTGTAAATTTTAAGAAATAGGGTAGAATAGAAATCTAAAATCGATTTCCAAATTGATGAGTCAATGAGAGATGAGTTAATAAACTCCTCTTTTGTTGAAAGATTAGCCCTCTCATGATGACTTACACTCCTTCCTGGTCTTAGACCTGCTTTGACAATTATATAACCATGTTCCATGTGTCAGTTTTTACCAAGTGTTAACATAAAATAACTCATACAGAGTAGTCATTGGGGGAAGTTCTTTGTGTCTCTTAGTAAAGTATGTTGTAATTTATAAGATTGGGGAATGCCAAGTTAAATCCATTCACTTACGTGTGTTTGTTTATACATATAATTATCAAAATGCATATTAAGTTTAGGTACATATATATAATGCATATTTGGACAATTACACGTGTTAATATGTGTATTATATTAATATGCATATATTAGGAGAACATGCTATGTAGGCAGAAAGTTTAAAAGACATTTTAAACTTTAGTTTCTCAAGAAGATTCAATTTAGTAGAGAAGTGGGTTTCAAAACACTCAATTGTATTGTTCTTGCTGAACTTGCCTAGTAGAAATTCAGTAAAAATTAACACAGTAATGTGATATTTATTAATATATTTCATTATAGATACATTCAGCTATCCATATTTTCCAGATAAAACTCTTGAGGATGCCTGTGATCAAACTCTTAAGAAAGTGATCTGTGGTTAGTGAACCACAGATTATGGGAACGTTTAGCAAATGCTCTCAAACATTTATCACTGCAGTTTTCATTGAAAGGATTAAACATGGAAGACAGCTTTCCTTAGAATCCTTTGATAAATGGATATTGTGCATGTGTTTTTCTCAAATACATTTGGCTGGCAAAATTTCAGTACCTAATTTTAATTTGAGCTCTTCAGAAAGTAGTGTTTTTATTGGTGTTAAACTCAGGATTGAAGTGATTTAAGGCATTTGAACTTTGTCTTATGGGGTTCATCCATTGAACTTTGTGTTATGTGGTTTGTCCAGGCTGCTATAACAAAATATCGCAGACTAGGTGTGTGATATGAAAAACAGATGCTTAATGTCTAACAGTTTTGAGCCCCAGTGTTTCCTTACGGTGTTAACAGCTCCCGAACAGCTCCCACTTCTGAAGGTTGTTGTGAAGAGTATAAAGTGAGTGTAAAGCACCTGAGCATAGTTCTCCAGATACTGCACAAATTCCTCCCTCCTCCGCCTCCTCTCAGTTCTGCCTCCTTCTCCTCCTCCTCCTCTTTCCGTTATTACTAATGACTAAGCTCAACAAACCATAAATGGAACCTGCAGGGCAGGCGTCAGTGCCGGGTGTCCCGGGGAAGGACATCATACCGCCACTGTGTCTTAGAGGTCATTCTGCCCACAGTCACCTGCACAGATCTGAAGGTCACAAGGCTGGAAGTGGGAGACCTCAGGACAGCATCTCAGTTATGAGACAGTAGGGACTTGCATGGGGCTTCAGGTGCTGCTTATGAAGAAGCCGGCTGCCAGTGCAGGAGATGCAAGAGTCATGGACCTGATCCCTGGTTCGGGAAGGTCCCCTGGAGGAGGAAATAGCAACCCACTCCAGTATTCTTGCCTGAAAAATTCCTTGGACAGAGGATCCTGGAGGGCTATAGTCCATGG